CCGGACGTGGAAAGGTTTTGGCAATCGAGCTGCCAGCCACGGAAGAGTTTCCAAACGTCACCAACAAACAGCAGCAGCTTCGGACAGTATCGGTCACCACGACTGCGACTTCACTCCCAACACTGTTTGCAGCGGTTGAACAATCATCCAAGGCTGCCGATGGTACTTTCGCGGTCGTGAGTGAAGAAGAAGGTGATCCTGCTTCTTCCATCCTTGTTCCCGACAGTGAGAAGACCAACGCCTTGGAAGAAGAAACCCAAACCGAGGGTTTGGAGAGGAGACCAACGCCGCGTCATGTAGCGAGCTGGCGGTTTCGGAAGAAGCCGAAGACGGACGAAGAGATTCCTACTGCATCGACCGGCATTGGGGGCTCACCCATGTCGCAGTCAGCCGCAAACCAGGAGATTCGTTCGTTACCGGTAGCTGGGATGGAGACGAAGGCGAAAGGCCACGGGGAGGACTCGTTAGTGTTGCCGGTCGCGCAAGGAGCGCTCGTAGTGGTCGTGACATGGGGAATGGAGGAGCCCGGAGCCGGAATCGACAGTTTACAAGACGCAGAGATGCCAGAGCGTCGAATCGCACGCGGAAAGCGGCGATTGACGGTGGGTTCCGTCGCGCCGTCGAGTGGAGGTGAGGCGAAGTCGGGGGCGGAGCTGGTGGAGGACTCGTCGAAGGCCAGCGAATCAAAGCCAGAGACAAGTTTCGCTCCCTGCCGCTGGGTGCTCTGCTCGTCGCCGCTGGAGTACGAGGAGTCGACGAGGTCGGAAGCGGCCTCACCACCGGTGGAGGACTTGCCGGGAAAAGTAAAGAAAGAGTGGAGGGAGGAGTGCGCCGGCGTCGGTGTCCTTCTCGCAAGCCCTACTTGTTTCCTGACCTGCTCAGCACAACATGGCCAAGTTTGGTTGGGCCAGGAGAGTGGGGTTGTGGGTTTCGACGGGCCGGAGTTGGTGGGCCAAGTTTTCTTAGACCGTGCGGGTTCCTGGTATGTCGAGATTGACGGGTCAAGTTGTGAATCGTTGCTTGTTGACCTGGGTGGGTGGAAGCTAATGAGAGCATGTGGGCCATGCTTGGGGATGAAGAGGGCCAAGTTCACAAAACTTGATTTTGAAGCAAGTAACAGAAAGGCAAGCTGGGTGGAAAGAGATAATAGGCCGCTAACATATGGCCCAATTGAAGCTCTTTGGTGTGGAGTAGACTCAATTGAAGTTGGTGACAAAGTTAGTGGGATTACTAGTGGGCTTCCTAGTAAGCATGACCCAATAACACATGGAGAAGAAAGATCACAACTTTGTGGGCTAGTTCCAAGAAAGATGTTTGATGGTCTTAAAGAATTGGTACTTAAGGATGAGTTCCTGAACGAGAACGAGTACTCAAGTTCTCGGATTGGGTGGAGGATTATGACCGCAAAGGAGGCATTATTGAAGTTTGCATTCTTCAAGGACGTGAGGATCGAACCATCAACAATAACATGCACGGCTTTGGAGCAGCAACATGAGATCGAAGAAAGAAGGCCAAGTGAAGAGCTGGAGCACGACCGGAAGAAAAGGAAGCGCAAAAGGCGGAGGAGTCAAGGCAAGGATTGCACGCTAGACGTGAAGAAATGGGTCGAGTTTATCAACCTTGAGGGCAAGGTTGATCTCAAGGGGGATGGTATGTTAGAAACACGTTTTCTAAGGAAAACGGATTTCTATATCAGCATTATCGTTATTATTAGGTTTATTTAAATATGGTTAGTAGTCTTTTCGTAGAATTAGGTTTAGTATTAGGTTTTCCTATCTTTCGTTATAAATATGTACTTTGCGTTTTATTCAGAAGCAAGCAAGAACAATTATTCAGAAAAGTATCTCAAATCCTAATCTCCCTAATCTCTCTCAACTTCGTCACCTATCCCTAGGCCGTCGACCATTCTTCTCCTCGATCCCCAATTTCCTCTTCTAAATCCCTAATCCCCAATTTTGTTCTTCCCCAATTCTATCTCAATCCCCTAAATACCTATCAATTCCCAATCTCATCAACTCGATCGTTAGAACCCTAGAAATAAGTTTCTAACAAAATGGGATTATTAGCCTGTTTACTTTCATTTCTGTTTCCTGTTTTTTAGAAAACATATGTTGAAAACAGGTGAAAACAACATTTTGTCGTTTTCGGAAACAGTAGGAAGTTGTCACTTTTTGTTTTCATAGTTGGAAACGATTAGAAAACAGAATGAAAAGTAAAAAAGTTTTTTCGTTTAGGTTGCCAAATCTATGACATGAAAACAGAAAACGAAAATGGAAGTGAACATGGAAGATTTTATCATAATAATCACTATCAGTTCCCTAATCTCCTCTCTCTTTCATTAGTCCATTAGATTTTATTATAATAATCACTGTCAGTTCCCTAATCTCCTCTCTCTCTTTCCTTAGTCCATTAGATTTTATCACAATAATCACTATCAGTGCTTGCAACTGTTAGCGTTAATCCGAAACCCACACTTTGATGTATAGAACTGCAACCGTTTTGATAATGGTGAATGATTCAATTAAAAAGAAAGCTGAACACGAATACGGATCAGAAACAGATCTCAAAACAAATGGTGGAGCTAACAAGCGGACTAGCCACCAACCATCAACGAAAGAAAACAAACACGCTAGGCGGATCAGACCACCCCTGCGTTAGACAAGAGGAACAAAGAAAATAAATTAAGAAACAGAGACAAGTAGAGGAAGCCTAACTACCCAGGCCCTCCAAGAAAAATACAGAGAAACTAAAACAAAGATACAGACCAAAACACCAAAAAAGGAAAGAGCAGTGGCAACTGTCAAGCCACCCATACAAAGAAAGAATTCATTTCCAAACAAAGGCACATGACAAAATGCAACAATGATCTCCACAAAGCCCACACCACTTCCACTTCCGTCTGTGAATCAAACCCAAGCCACTAACACGTCCCAGCACACATTCACACCCAAAAAGGAACCCATCAGCAGTACACATAAAACACCCCAAACAGCCAAGCACCACCCTTACTCCAAATAGAACCCAGTAACACCATCCTGTCAACAGACTGAGAACCAAAATCCGTTGATCCTCAATGAACCTTATCTTTCAACCATCTTGCAGCAACATCCCCCTGTACTTTACCATAAGCTACCATCCACGCCACGCCATCACATTCTTCCCAGCTCTCCTAGATATCACACAGGCCCTCGACCTCTTGTCTTCAAAAATTCTTTGGTTTCTTTCCAGCCACACAAACCACCACACAGCGTGAAGAATGTCGGAGTCGAACCACTTCTTGACACACTCTATTTCAGCACAGGGCCAATCTTAGATTATTGCAGCAATATCACTTCTTTGTCTATTATCCCTAGTCCTGCATGACTCGATTCCTTTCCAAACTTCCTTCACGAAATCGCACTCGACCAATAAGTGAAAGGCAGATTCCTCCTCCTGCTCACACAAAACACACCTGCTCGCTAAGCTCCACCCTCTCCTTTTAAGGTTATCCAAGGTGAGTATCCTATTATGGTACACCAGCCAAATGAAGAAGCACACCTTGCTGGGGGCTGTCTTCTTCCAAACTTGCTTCACCGGAAACTCCTGCACCCCACGAACTTCACTCAACGCCAATTCCTTGTAAAGAGACCTGACTGAGAAGATCGAATTGGGTTACAGTGTCCATATGATCTTGCACGGACTATTAGCATTTCGAAAAAACTGAACGGAACTAAGATGATTAAAGAATACAACCCTTTCCCTCTCCGCCCCACCCCTCAAGGAAAGTTTAAAATTAATATTCCAACTCACCACCTCACCAGAAAAATTCACAGCATCAGATAATTGAGCGCTTGGATTTGAGACAGCAGCGACAATGCGGGGGAAAGAGTTAGCAAGAGCAGTTCCGGGAATCCAATGATCATACCACATTGAGATCTGAGTGCCATTACCAGGATCAAGGCTTGCAAACTTCCAGAAACGTCGTATTCCTTGCTAATATTTGCCCACAAAGACCTAGAGAACCCACCTCTCGCACGCCTAGTCTGCCAACAAGATTTATGGTTATGGTACTCGTAGCTGATTAATTCACGCCACCAACTTCCCCTTTCAACCGCAAATCTCCATAACCATTTCGAAAGCATTACACTATTGAAGGACTTCAAATCATGAATTCCCAACCCACCATCATAGATTCCTGCCTTGCACCTTTTCCACTCTATCAGTGCCATCTTGTGACCTTTATTACTTCCATTCCACAGAAAGTCCCTTTGTTGTTTCTCAAGCTCCTTTAGAACCGATCTCGGGGCCTTAAATAGAGAAAATAAATAAATAGGAGTGCTGGACAGCACTGCCTTAATCAGCACCAATCTCGCTCCATAGGACAAAGCCCTACTCCCTCAACCACTCAACCTGTTTTGATACTTCTCCTTAACAGAATCCCAAATCGATATATCATTTGGCGTAGCTCCCAACGGAAACCCCAGATACTTGGGCGTATCAGCACTCCACTTACACCCAAATATATCAGCGTAGAAACTAGGCTCTGCTACATCTCCAACCGTATACATGACTGACTTCTCCAAATTGATCCTCAACCCGGTCACAACTTGAAAGCAAGTACCCGCTGCATCATTTTCCTAGTGTTAATGTAATTCTCGTCCGCGTGACATTCACATCCTCGTGTTAATGTAATTGACATAATCTTTAATAGTGTCAAAGTTTTAATAAAAGTGTCAAACATGTTTCCAAAACCTAGACATTTTGTGTATTTATCATAAATTGACTATTATTGTCACAAAGTCGATAGTTTTTACTATAAATGTAAACTAAGTGACCACTAGCAATAAAAATTTATAAGTGACAAATTTATAAACCAAGTGATCAAATTTGTCATTTATCTGAACTTTGTTGTGATGGAATCTAAACTAGGGAGGAATGATTGGAGTTGGTCTTAGTGACTCCCAAACTTCAATGGTGTTTATGTAATTGACCCAGGGTTTTAGAAGCTTCTAGTTAAAATTCCCCGAACCCTATTTTTTCCTAAAACCCCATCCCGTCCCGTCTTCGCACCCGAAGATTCGAGTACTTCCTCCCTAAACCCCTGACCTCTCCAGTCTCCTCCACGCCTTCTCTCTTCTCTCATCGGTAGCTGTGACCCTCTGCCGCTCCAAACTCCCGGAAAATGGCGAAGCGTTTGATTCCAGCCTTTAATCGCATTTTGGTCGAGAAGATTGTCCCTCCTTCCAAGACTACCGCCGGCATCCTTCTTCCGGAGAAAACCTCCAAGGTAAACCACCAACCTTTGTTCGCTCCACTCCCTGTTCTTTTCTTCTCTTTCACTTTACGTCCGGAGCAGTTTCACTGCTGGCCGCTATTGTCTTTGTCTGATCGGATTAGGGCAGTGGGTTCATCGTAATAGCTTTCTATTTTCTAGTATCGGTTGTAATTTGTTTTGCAGATCAAATGGTCCACCTGATTTGAAGCTTCAGATTTCAGATCCAGTGATTAATAAGTCGGCGTGCTCATTTTGTGCATTTTAATCTTCAAATGGAGCTTCGACTACCACTAATACTATGGTGGAACTTGGAAATCGGTGACCATGAATTAGGAAGTTCAGGGACAGTTGAGTTGAATTGCTTGATAAGCTAGTGGACTGGCAAATCTCGTGGATATGGTTGTTGTTGTATGCCTCTGGTCTGGAACTTGGAGTGTGCCACTTGTGGTTGTAGGAATGCTGAATCCTTTATGCATGTCGATGATTGATGAAACCTATACTTACCCTGATGCCGAGCAATGCTTGTTGGTCTCTTTGTTCACGAGCTATCAGTTTATGTGCTTGTTTCATTGGTCTAACACTAGATTATTTCAGCTGAACTCTGGCAAAGTTGTTGCTGTGGGTCCTGGGCTTCGTGACAAGAATGGAAATCAGATCCCTGTAGCGGTGAAAGAAGGAGAGACGGTTCTTTTGCCCGAGTATGGTGGGACTGAAGTGAAGCTTGGTGATAAGGAGTAAGTTCTACTTTCTTTCGGATCTGATTAGTGGCTGGAGTTGTCTTTGATGAAATTACAAGTTCATTGATCATGGATATTTTAACATTTCCCCCTTAGTCTAGTTAGTTTGCAGTTTTTTACCCTTTGAGTAGAAGGTTTTCAAAGCTAAATGATGGGTTAATGTGATGGTCCTGAAATATATATTGTGGTAGCCAGCATTAAGATGTAAGTGTTGTTATGTGGCCTTGCGTTATTTTACTATTGCATTTTGCTAGGTGGTTGGTGCTCAGAAGATACTTGTCACTTGAATGGTAGTGTTGAAATCATTGATTCAGCAAGCAAGTCTAAGAATAACCACTGATACCTATAGAAACATTTATAGGTCATAGCTTAGTCGCCTTGCATCACGTTCTGGTCTCCTCCAGATGCACTGCTCCTTCGTCCAAAATGAATGCAGTAACCTTAGCAGCTGTTATTCATATTAATGAGGATGGAGCTTGATATTGCTTCTGTTAGATTTCTACACTGACCTTGGCTCTACATGGTTTGCAGTTAAATTTATTCTCAACTTGAGAGCTCAAATTCCAACTTAAATTAGCTGCTGATCAATTGTGTTCTTTGGAATTGTTTAAATTTGTAGGTATCATCTCTTCCGGGAAGACGATATCCTTGGAACTCTTCATGATTGATGCAGAAGGAACTGTACCTCGCATTGATGGAGTTGGTACTTCTCTAGTGTTGGAAAGTTAAATTTTTAAGCTTGAAAGTTGGCATTGTTTCTCTCTCGTCGGAGAGAACATGATCATGAACCCTGATGTCTTTACACATATTGGATACTTGCTGAAACGTTCTGCTTTTGTTCTGTTGGCTGATGATGGGGATGGTTCCTAGTGTCTGATTGTTTACTTGCTTAAGTGAAAAGAGTAGAACATCTATGGATAATTGAGGTGTCCTATGCCAGGTTGTGCAATTTTCTTAGAACCATGAAAATGGCCCTATTTAGGTTCAGAAGAAATGAGCTCTGAATGGTAATGGGTCTACAGAATGAGTTGAATAGGCTCTTTCCTAGTTTGCACAATCATTTGGGGAGGATTTGCCAAGGCATGACATAACTGGGAATTCTTTTGGGAAAGAGAATTTTGTTAAAGGGTTAATCCAATTTCCTCTTACCGAGTCTGAGAGGTCAGTAGAGAATGGAAACTTTAGCTTTCATTCCCAATGTTCAAAGACCAGACTTCGCAGTTCTTCAATTTGTAAATGTAGAGCATCCCATGGTTGTTCCACGCAAGGTAACACAAACTTCGCTCATAAAAATGCCACAAGGAATCACAAATGACCAAATGAAGCTTAGTGGTCCAAACAAAGTATTGTCCCACAAAGGGTTTTGCTCCAATTGGAGACTCAAACTGCCAAATCTCGGAACTTTAGTTAAATCCATTCGTCACTACATTGTGCTCATAGTAGTTGTGGTTGTCTATGAAACCTTGCATGAGAAAGGTGAATTGTGGGATTAACTAAGAAGACAGACTCAAGGATCATAATAATCAATAACTAATAACTCTTCCATTCTCGAACTCAATCCAGTCTTATATTTTTTATTATTATATAAAAGTTGTAATTGGAGTTGTTAGTCGGTTCTGTTCGATTATAACAATAATTGTTTAGTCAATAACAGGTTAATTATTAAGCAATTTATGTTAATTAATCACACTATTAGTCGGTAAATCATAATCGTATAGTCGCCTATTGGTTATTTTGCCGGTTAACCAGATAACCGTTAACCAAGTCATTCGGCAAGTACATGCCAAAATAAACAATTGGCAACCTAACCAACTAGGTAGGTAAAGGGTTGTGCTTTGTAGGCCTTCAAATATCCCCTTAATTTTGGCCTATGCATGTGGCTCATCGAGGCCTATTATTTTCAGTCCTAATTGTGAGGATTGCAGATGATCGTAATCGGATAGTTGGTTAACCGTTTAATGATAGATTACTAATTAACTAAATTTGACTACTAGGAACTAACTATTTACTATTTAGTCGGTTATCAATATAAACGTTAACCATCATCTACCGGTTAGGTTATCGGTTACACCGTTAACATGATAACCGTTGAATAGTATTAGACCTGCTAAAAAATATTTTAGACAAATTTGGCAGATCATTTTTGAAGACATGAGGCTAGCTGGAGTTAAACCGAGTGCTCTGGTTGCATGCTGCAATGCAAGAACAGTAGTAGATGAGGCGTTGAGATACATTACAGATGATGAGAAAGGAATATAGAATCAGACCTTTGATGGACCATTATGGATGTATGGTTGATTTATACGTGGGGTTGGGTAGGATTGATGAAGCTTTTAGTGTCCCACCAAATGAGTTTATTTGGCTGTTTTTGATTTCAGGATGTAGGAATCATGGAAATGAGGAAATGGGGTTTCATGCTGCTCGGCAACTGCTCAAACTGAAGCCTACAGATCCCCAGATTTACTACATTCTGTTGAATCATTACAGCTCTACAAATCGTTGGGAAGATGTTTCAAGACTCAAAGAATTGAGGCGAAAATATTGATGGTGGCAGATTGGAGCTGGATTAGCATCAAAGAGAAAGTTCACTCCTTCAAAACAAGCATTCAGCGGGCCCCTGGGAATACCTAGACATCAAGGTTGTTGGATGAACTGCTGGAGAAAGCTAAGGGTCATGGTTACACGACACAAGCAGCTATAGAGGTGTGTAATGAAATAGTAGACGATGAAGATATGGAGCACGACGATTACTCTTCTGCTTCTGCTGCGAATCACAGCCAGAAGTTGGCTGTGGGATTTGGGTTGCTAAATATTCAAACTGATCCCTCAATAAGAGTCAACAAGAACACGAGAATGCGTAGAGCCTGCCACAGTTTCATTAAGATCGTCTTGCGTGGAGAGTTCTCTGGCTCTTCTTTACTATGCAGCAATAAAATTACATGGCATGCATCAAAAGAAACATATTAAATGGCAAACTTACAACAGGCAAGCAAACTACACGATATTAAGTCATTGATTCAAGAGATCCAGCCTATCTCACATAATCTCCGAAGGCTAAAAGTTTGGTGTTCTATGCCTTCTGTTCAATTCATTTTCTCCTCGTTGGGAAAGGGGGCACTGTTAGATTCAGGCATGGAGATTAGGGTTCATGTGGGATGAGAAGTAAAACAGCCTGTGTGGGTAGAGATTGAATGGGAGTAACATAAAGTCAACGCCTCTTGCTCTTAGTCTTGGTGATCTTATGTCTGCCTGATTCAATGGGTGGTTTCCAGATGATATCTTCAAGCTTGCCACAGAAGTTCTTGTAAAACTGCAGGGTGGAGCAAATAGCCATTGTTGCTGAGCACGGGATATCTAACTTAACATACATGATCCTCCGCCATTTTCTCCTCAAAATTCCATAGAATTTCTGTTAACAACAATAGAAAAGAGGAATTTACCTTGAGGTACTCACTGACATCACCGGCTGCTCTCTGTGCATCAACCATGAAGAACGTGGGAGCAACTTCAAATACCTTTTTTTATGCAAAAACATACATGGTTAGCTGAAAGTTCACCGAGAACTGATAGCAAAAAAGTTAAAAGAGGTTGAAGAGCTCACTTCTAAGATTACTGAGAAATGAGCACTCTTGTTAGCTGAAAGACCTTCCACTCTCATCTGAAAAAAGTCAAACCAAAATATTGCAGTAAAGAATACTTGTTCAAGTCAACTGTTTTTGTCCCTCATCTTTGTTTCAGGAGCTGACTCAATTAGTTACCTTGTAATTGCGGATATGTGTTTTGAAACTCATTGATTGAGCAACCACTTCCATTGTTGACAATACAACCTTTGCTGGCTTGCGAGAAACAAACCTTGTTTGATACTTCACAGAGTCCTGTTATTATACAGAATCCGAAAATTCAGCTCTGTTAACCAGAAACAAACAAAAAGGCTCATTTGGAAAAAAGCAGCTGCAAATGGCTATGGAAATGAAAGCTATATACCTGACCCCGGTCAAATAGGGTGCCGAGGTTTAATCCTTGTGATAAAATGATCAAGTCAAAGGCATTAAGAATCAGAGGACCCAAGTCCTCACTTCCACCTTCTTCAACTGTACTTTGCTCCTGCAGTTCAACCAGTAGTCACATAAAGCAGTTCGCCCACCAACAATTGGAAATTTCTGAATTCAGCTATGAAGGCGGGAATCAGATTAAACCTCGGGATCATCAAAGGCTGCATTTATATCATCCAAGTTCACGTCTTCATGTTCAGGTAGTCTTACCGGGTCATAGTTTTTCTTAAACCACTCATCATCCCTTATCTGTTCGATGGTAATTCGCTGCATGTACAACGAGATTTGATTATTATACTATAAACAAGGAAAGGAAATAGCTCCTTAAAGATTTCTGGAAACACTTGACCACCATCTTTAATGCATCAGGTTTATTTGGAAGTTTTAAGACTACCAATAATAGCAAAGACTAGGGCTTCCCAAAAACGATACAGCAACCATCAAATTCTCTTTCACCTGACCTGACCCTATAAAAACCAACCTGCGTTTTCACAAAACTCGCTAAGTCCACAAACAAGATTAATCTCATGAATACATACAGTTTGAGGATTTGGGTCCAAAATTCTGTGGATCAATGACTTCGCGGCCACTGGAAACCAAGAAGGGCATGAGAACTCTGCGTTGTCAATCTGCAGAATCCAAAAGATATAGAAGAATTGAACAAAGAAACAAACTGCCAATTTGACCTTTATAATCAGAGAAGCTAAACATGCAACTTAAACCAAAACGTTGAACTTCCCAGGATTCAATGCTATTATAAGTTACATTCTGTGCAATGCTGAAGGCCAAATCACACAAACTGAAGGGAAATCAGTCCACTTGATTAATGTGCATGCCTTACTATATAACGTGGTGAGGTCAAGTTCATCAAAAGGAAGATATCCAGTTATGAGAACATAAAGGATGACGCCACAGGACCACACATCAGCCACAGCTCCATTGTAACCCTTACCCTTGTGGCTAAGTACCTAGCACGGCAAAATGGAATCTGTAAGCAATAAGATCAGAAACATATAAGAGTATGACGCCTCCGAGGCCAACACATTTATAATAATACCTCAGGTGCCACATAATTAGGAGTTCCACAAGTTGTTCGCAGCAATGTAACACCCTACGTACATAAAAGTGACAGAAGAATGAATATGTTCGGTCGCACCAAAGCACAAGCTATTGTGATAACATTTGTTATTTGAGATTGCTTACTTCTGGGGGAAGAGCACTCAGACCAAAATCAGATATCTTTAAATTTCCTTGTGAATCAAGCAGCAGATTTTCAGGCTGCACAGGAAAAGAAACCAAATCTTAGACCTTAAGTTAAACAGAAGTAGATATCAGTAAATAAGAGGCCAGCAAAAAAAAAAAAACACCTTTAAATCTCTGTGATAAACTCCTTGACTGTGGCAATAATCCACACCATCGATAAGCTGCTGAAAGTATCTCCTAGCTTCAGCCTCACTCAATCTCCCATGATGCACCTGCATTCACAAAGATTTTCCATGATAAACTTGCCAAGAATGGACAAAGCAGGTACAAACAGCATCATTGCTTGATAAAACTTTAGGGTTACTCACTATTTTATCAAACAATTCACCACCTGTAATGAACTCCAAGATTATGTAGATCTTCGTACGGCTTGCTAAAACCTACATAATGTGTTACAAGACAAAAATAATCAACAGTGAGAAGAAACAAAAAAAGTTCTTGAATTCTAAGAAAAACCGACACACGAAATCTAATACTCAAGTAAGGAGTGCATGCCTCATGTAGCCGAACTACATTCGGATGCCTGACAAGTTTCATTATAGATATCTCTCTCTTGATCTGTGACAAGGAAGACAGCGATCATTATCAAAAGCATAAAATTTTGGCAGATGTAAGTTGCATAATGACCTCAACTCGACAAATAAGACACAACACATGATATATGATGTTAGCATCACTACTTAAAGCAAGCAGAATAACACATGTAACAATCTGTGATGATCAAAGTGTTTCACTCATAAAAACATCACTTCAGAAACTCCCTCCTTGAGCATAACACAGGTATGGCCGATGATCTTGCTTAACATAACAAACTCTATACCTGCTCCAAATGAGCTGCTTCCTTCTTTTGGTCAGAAGCGTTACTCCATCACCATTGTACAAAATTGAGGCTTGCGATTAAGGAATTTATTTCAATTGCTCATCCACCATATTCACATTTCCCTCTACTTCAAGATACTAATTAGATCATATGAAGTCCAAACTCAACTGGAAAGAAAAGGAAAGGAAACACACAAAAAAAGCAGCCTATTTGACAAAAGAAATTCACTAAGGACCTAGCTGCCAAGAAATTAGAAGAAAGAACCAAACTTTACCTGATCGACCATCTTGTGCTTGATGATGGTGCTGCGATCCAGCACTTTCATGGCGACACTCTCACCAGTCTCTGTGTTCTGAGCAAACTTCACTTTAGCAAAAGTTCCTTCCCCAATTGTCCTCCCGACCTCATACTTCCCAACTCTCCTCACCACCATCTCTCCTCTTTCTTCGGCAGCAACTGATTTCCAATTCACCAGTTATCTTCTAGTCTAACAAAGATTCATCCTAGCATTGCCAAACCCGCCCCAAATCAAGCTTTAATTGGAAACAGAACCAGAAAAACAGACAGAAATTCTTCAGCCAAGCTTTTAACTTTTTCCCATTTTGAACAAAAAGAACCACAAAGGAGCCCTCCAACCTGTAGCTGAGCGCCTGTAGGTGGGAGGTGGCAAGGTGGTGGATGAAGATAAAAGGATAATATTTATTATTATCTGCGCATTAACGAAAGTACCGCTTGAAAACAATAAGAGGTTCTTGACTTTTGAGGAATTCTGTGGGGTTAGGTCAGAAACCAATACCCCAAAAAGAGAATTTTGAAGGGAAACAAACACTCAAAGATGACAAGTGATAACAACTTGCAGAAGTAAAGAATCCTTTGTTTATCCTGGGAGAAAATCAACAAAAGAGGGGGGGTTCTTTGTGAGGATGGGAAGGGGAAAGTCTGTGGAATCTTTTTGACTTGGTGTTGATGGTGGAGGGAGGGAAAGCCCTCGATCTCGTCGCTGGGTATTTGAAATCAATGAACACGATCCAAGTACATAAGATCATCTCCATTAGAAACCATATCAAGACCCACTTGGCCACTTGCCGTATAAACTTTTGTATGTGCCATTAGTGAAAATAAGACGACTAGTAGACTAGTATAGGGCTAATTATCATCACAAAAATATATGTTTGGATTAATAACAAAAAGATAATTATGTCCATTTCCATCCAAAAGTCCGTTAGTTTACTTCAGTCAACATGTCATCAGCAAATAATAATAAAAAAAATCAATAAAGCAAACTAATTATACTCAACCAAACCAAACTGAACCCACTAGAAGATTATACCTAATAAAAATACAAACTCAATCCGAGCGAGACCGTGAGCAAAAAACTCGATCAGATTGCCGCAAGCAGCTGTGATGAAGACTATATCCTCCGCCTTGAACCCATTACTGAGCGAGACCGTGAGGAGATTCAAGTGCGTGATGGATTTGGAGACGACGGGATGTCGCTGCAGAACCGGAGGTAGGTCCTCGGTCCAGTAGTAGAAATTGGAGAGGTCAAGGCTTCGAAGGTGGCCGCAATGTCGGAAGAGGGGCTCAAAATCGTCTTCGAGTTGGACGGAGGAAGGGCGCTGCTTCCCCTGCCCGTAGGGGTGAACAAAACAACCCAAAAACCGACTCACCCCTATTTATCGTCGAAATTGAAGTTTAAGGTTGGGTGAGGGTTTTCTTTTGTACAAATCGCCTATATTGGGTTGGGTGCGGATTTTGGCTAATGCAACCCGTAGAACCCGACTCAACCCGTGTTGAACTATTGTCATAAGTGTTCGTATCCAAAATACATTTGTGCAAAAATTAACCTATCTTGTCAAATTTTTCTCTTGTGGTTTCCTTAGAGATCGTTGGATGAGGAATTCTAACGGATCAATTTGACCCAATTGTTTCATTTTGAGACAATTTAATCAAATTGATCAGTTTGGCATCACAAAATTTAAATGAAACAATTCTTCCTAAAAAATTTCAAATTGACTCGTTTTGAGGCAATTACAATTATATGGGGTGGGGTAGACAATTCGAATTGACTCGTTTTAAATGATTCATTTTGTAAAATGAGATAATTGGACAAATTAGTCTAGTCCTTTCTTCACCTTAATATTTAAATATAGATTTAACATAATCCATGATTCACATAATCTTTTTCTTATGTACAATTTTAGAAGATTAATATATTATGAAGCTTATAACCGCTTTAGCTTATTTCGATAAATATTTATAAAAAGTACTAGACATATGTTGAAATAAATTGCACTTCATTAAAATCCAAACAACATTTATACATATTGATATTTTGGGTGTGCCTACGGTGACATGCATGTCACGGTGACTTGCACTTTCCGGTCGACCTCAGTTAGAATTAGGTCGACCTCATTTAGAATTCGGTCGACCTCATATAGAATCTGGTCGACCTCATTAGGATTCGGTCGACCTCAAATAGGATCAGGTCGACCTAATCTGCTGTTCAGTGTAAAAACAGTTCATGGTGCCTACTTTGGATATTCATATCATACAATTGGCTAGATGGAAATGGAAGACTAATGACTTGTTTTGAAGCTGGAGTGTCCCTCTACATATTGAAGTGATTGAGAACTCGATAGGAAGTCCAAAAGACCATTTTTGAACCTCATCAAAAGGCTATGCCAAAACTGGGAAACTGCCTGGAAATGGCTAAGTCTGGAAACGTGTTTGTGAAGCCTATTTTGGAGCTCAATTCGAGAAGCATGAATGCGAGTCGAGTCCAGGAGCCTCTACCACGTTAAATTATGTATGTTTTTATACAAATTCAAGGCATTGGATGAATGATTGGATATCTGTAAGGCTTCAAACAAAAGGGTCGAAGTTGCTACGAAGGCTGTTTTTCTGGCAGACTTCGAGCACAAGCAAGCTGCCAGAAAAACAGCCTTCGTAGCAACTTCGAGCCTTTTGTTTGAAGCCTTAAAGATATTCAATCTTTCATCAAATTCTTTGCCTTTGTATAAAAAAATACGTAATTTAACGTGGTAGAGGCCTCTGGACTTGACTCGCATTCATGCTTCTCAAATTGAGCTCCAAAGTAGGCTTGACAAACACGTTGCCAGACTTAGCCATTTTCGGGCAGTTTCCCAGTTTTGGCATAGCCTTTTGGTCAGGTTCAAAAATGGTCTTCTGGACTTTCTATTAAGCTCTCAAGTACTTTAATGTGTAGAGGGACACTTCAGCTTCAAAACAAGCCTTTAATCTCCAATTTCCATCTAGCCAATTGTAAGATATGATCTCCTAAGTAGGCACCATGAAACTGTTTTTACACTGAAACAACAGATTAGGTCGACCTGATCCTATATGAGGTCGACCGAAAAGTGCATGTTACCGTGAGATGCATGTCACCGTAGCAAAGTCCTGATATTTTTTGCTTGTATTTATTTGGTTAAAATTTTAATTAGTTATATAATATTTTTGTAGTCTAGAATAGTTGCCTTTTGTTTTGGGTTGAGATTTTAATTATAAATATCTCTAACCCGAGCCAACCCAATTATAAACAAACTGTAAGGTTTAATTTTTTTGGGTGAGTTTGGATTTAATATTTTTAAAACCGTACAATATGAGTCGGATTATTAAAATGACCAAATTCGAACCACTCGAACCACGTGCACCCCTACCTGCCCATAAAGCTCAAAGGAGAAGAAGAATTATGATCCCCCGCTCGAGGGCCCGACCCCCATTCCCCTGAATCCGACATGAAACTAGATTCTCCCAAGTCCAGGACTTTGGGTGGCAGTAGTGGGTTGTCATCGTTGTCACCGCGGGTGGTAATCGAGAGGAGGCAGGTGGGAGAGAGCGGGAGGCATAATTTCAGGGGCATAAGGGAGAGGACAAGGGGCAAATTCGCGATAAAAATTTGTGACCCAACCCAGAAGGGCATCCAGGGGTGACTAGGGATGTTTGACAGCAATGTAGATGTCGTGAAGGCCTACAAATTTGCCGCTTTTCGAATGAGGGTCATGAAAGCTATCATGAATTTCCAACGGTGGTGAGGCGAAGGGAGGCGAGTTTGAAGGCGGAGAACCGCTCGTTTCGGGCAACAGGGCAGGGTTACTGATTGGACAAAAGTAACGATTTTTGGAGGAAATGGACGGAATTCACTTTTTTTTATTAGTCCAAACATATGTTACTGAAATATGCAAAATTAAAGGTATGTTATCGTTTTGTACAAAGAGAATAGTTTTGTAACCATTTATGATAATTAGCCACTAGTATAGCCTCTCGTGGACTTTGCTTTTATTATAGGCATGGTTACAATACAAAACTTTCACATGTGGGAGGCAAGATCTTACGGTGAGCTTTGCAGAGGGGTAAAAAAGGAAGGTAAGGCTTTTTGACAGTTGGACGGCTTTTTGGGGCGCGCAAATCTCAAGTAGTAGTTAATGTACTTTTCAAATTGCATACGAATTTTCAATAGATGATATCTCATTCGTTTTACATTAGATTTCAAAAAAACTTTGCGTAGAAAGATCATGTTTTTGTACTCTACAAGATCATACCCATTTTAATATTTGCGGAGTTAATTTTTTTACATCATCGTACACTGTTAAATCATGATATTATCATTGTGGTGATATCAATGATATGGTAGTGTTGTCAGTCTAATCATAATGGGAATATCATAGTATGACATTTATAAGATGATATTGTGGAGTCTTATCATAGCGGTATGATGTTGGTATGACAATGTTAAGATAATATAAAATCTTATCTTTGAGCAAAAAAACCCAAGCAATAGAGGTGATGAATTCCTCCATATGTCTTCTTCTCAAAATTTTGCACAACCCATGGAAATCATTTACATTGAGAAAGAGGAATTTGTTGTAAGAGTAAAGACGCTGTTGTTTTCGCTCCAACTCAGTCATTTTCGCTCCAATGCTGTTTCTTATCGCCCCGAATTGCTACGCCATCATTTTGAGCTTATAGTCCTTCTAAGTCTCTGAGATTGAGATCAGATCTCCAGCATCCTCGTGCAACGCTATTCTCTCCTCAAGTTCAATTACATCTTTCTCTTTCCTCTCCAAAAGTAGTCTCCCTTCTGTAGGAACTCATGATAACCATGATAGCATAACAACTCTATTTGTAAACGGTCGTCTCTCTTGATCTCTATAAATTTTGTATCGATCACTTTATTTGAACTTGGCAGTATGTTGTGAGAGAAAGTCGTGTGTCTCTTTCTACTTTGGGTCCATTGTTATTTGCTTCAGAAGCTCAATTCATAGTGTCTGTGTAATGGATGAATTGAGCTTGGGAAGTAGATAGGTGTTTCGTATCTATTTAGAGAGCCATTCGGTTTGGTTCTTGTTAGGGTTTATTCTGGTTCTGAAACTCTTTGTTGTAGTTGTTCTTATGATCAATATAATGTTATTTTCTTTATTTCTCAAATCTAGAAATCCTCTTCTAGATGGATAGTTTAATCTTCTAAAATCGAGTCATCCTTCCCATTATAATTTAACAGAAGTAAGGGTATAGATTGAAGAGTCCATCATTTCCAATGAAGCTCTAGATGAAGAGGTGAAGGAAAACATTCCCTAAGTTGGAAACCATGAAGAAAACTACAAAATCTTGGTAGAGATACATAATAGAGTCGAGTCAGACCTCTCTTGAATCCTTGAAGTAGATCCATTCGTAACATTTCTAGAGAGCCATGAGACTGTAGCGTCTGATCTAACACATAGAGGGAAATATATGAGTACCTCCTTGTACATTACCTCTACAAAATTCATAATTCCAAATCAAAGTGGGGGTAAAAGGTGCAAGGTGGAGACTAAGGTGGAAGTCTCTCTATGATTCATCATCAAACCATAAAAAAGGATGACAAACAGTGAAAAGCCATGTTTAAAATGATGGACTTCAAAGAAGGCCTAAGTTGGGAATTTTCAAGATCTCAAAGCTATGGATAGCTCAAGTGCATAAAAGAAATAATGCTTATTGGGAGGAAACTCATGTCTGGCATGCAACTTAAGGATGTAAAATAAAAGTGTTAC